TCTCTGTCTTTCAAAAATGATTAAATGCTAAAAAAAAAAAAAAAAAAAAAAAAAAAAAATTATTTTAGGAACTTAACTTCTGTTGTATTTTGAATCAACACATGATAAAACCATGCAAACTTTTGAAAAATTTTTTTTTCTAATTCTGTATGCTATTCACAGATGGCTTGGCATCAGGCCCCAATAACTCAAACTAGTAAAAGTCTTCTCTTGGTTATTCTCTTCTTATAACTGTCCTCAGTGGGCTGCCTGGGTGCCTCAGTTGGTCGAGCATCTGACTCTTGGTCTCAGTTCAAGTCTTGATCTCAGGGTCGTGAGTTCAAGCCCCAAGTTGAGCTCCGTGCTGGGCGTGAAGCCTGCCCGTTAAAAAATTGTCCTCAGAGGTCCCACACTCTCCTGTGTTTCTCTCTCCGTCTTAGCCCTTCTTGTCCCATTGGGGGCCCCTGCCCATCACCTAGACACTGGTGTCCCATGGGGCTCTGTCCCGGACTCTTTTCTTCAGCATATCCTACCCGAGTATTATCCCTTTCCATGGCATCAGCTTTCCCCATTTGCTGCTAAATCTATAATCTGTATGAGTAGGCCAGATCTCAGTAAGCTGGCACTGTTCTGATTTCGACTTTAACCGACAGTAACCAATGTTGTCCATTTTCACCGGGCAGTTCACAATGGAACGCTCATCACATTCTCACGATGAAAGGACACCCAACAGTTAAGAACAGAGATGATCGATCAAGACAGAGATAGTGACTGAAAAAATGATCTAGTTAGGATACAACTTGTGCCGCTCTAGCAAAGAGATCTCAAGATGCAGTGACTTAAATAAGGGAAAGCATTTTTCAGTAACATGAAAGTCTAGGCTAGAGTGGCCTTTGGATGATTCAGGAATGCTTCTTGCTCTGCCTTCTTTGACACATGGTTCCCGTCTTACGGTCGACAATAGAAGTTCTGAGCATAGTCATTGTGTCCACATTCCAGCCCGTGGTAAGAAACAAAGGGGGAGCACAGAACCCAACCCAAAATAGGAAAAATATTTCCTATTTTATTATATTCTGTTTCATTGTTTTAAAACTTGCTCATAATTCACCCATCATATTATGACCACTGTAGATGAGGACCCATACTTTGAAAAACATGGTTCTAAGCCTACCGTGTCAAATATGGTACCCAGTAGCCACATGGGCTATTGAGTGCTCAAAATGTGATTAGCCTGAAGTGTTATGTGTTGTTAGCGTAGAATCCCATACCAGATTTCAAAGACTTGTTACCAGAAAAAGAACATGAAGCATCTTTAGCGATATTTATATTGATTAAATGTTGAAATGATAGGGGTGGCTATCAGTCGATTAAGCGTCCGACTTCCACTCAGGTCATGATCTCACAGTCTGTGAGTTCGAGCCCCGCGTCGGGCTCCGTGCTGACCGCTCAGAGCCTGGAGCCTGTTTCAGATTCTGTGTCTCCCTCTCTCTCTGACCCTCCCCCGTTCAGGCTCTGTCTCTCCCTGTCTCAAAAATAAATAAACGTTAAAAAAAAAATGTTGAAATGATAGTGCTTTGGATATAATGAGTTAAGTAAAATCTATATTACCAACATTAATTCAATCTGCTGATTTTTGTATCTTAACGTGGCTACTAGAAAATGCAAAATTACATAGGAGGCTCACAGTCTACATGTCTATGAAACCATACTGCCCTAAACCCTACATGCCAATGTTAAACTCCCTCTGAATATTAATACTTGAATATTCCACAAGTACTTTCTAAAACTAGACTCTTTCGCTTCCCAGCCCTTAGCCCTCCTGTCTTCTTTGTGTTCCCACTCAGGGCATCCTCAGCTAAAGGCATTCAATCAGTTAAAGGCAACACAATCCACTCAGCGACCTACCAGGAAAACTGAAAGGCATATTCTCCTTTATCTATCACATTCATGTATTCACTGTGTGCTGTCACGTTACCTCTTAAATGTGATATAAATGTATCAATCATTTTCTAATCTCATCATGAATGCCCTAGTTCAAAATACCATCATCTGTCACCTAGATAATTGTATCAGTTCCCAAATGGCCTCTCTGCCTCCTGGGTTGTCTCCTTCCAGTCAGTCCTTCAAAGTGACCTTTCTGAGAAACAAATCTGGAGAAGTCACTTCACACCTTGATCACCCCCCTAAACACCTTAATAGTGCCGACAAGCTCCTTTTTTATTTGAAGCCAGCTTGCTTCACTTTTCTGAATGCATGGGCCTCTTCTCTGTACCAAGTGCTTTCCATCTCACTAAATGTGTCATGATTATTCTTACCTCCTGAGCCTTTGTATACATCATTCCTTATGTGCTTGGAATGCATTTTTTTTTAATCGCCTTCTCCCCTCTGGCTAAACACTACTCATATTTCAGAGCTTCATTAAAATTTTGCTTTCCCATTAGAATTCTTTTCCAAAGCCCAAGACTGGATTATGTGTTCCTCTTCTGCGCTCCCAGAGCATCCTGAACTTCGATAAGAATGTTTGGCCACTAAAAGGATGAGATCGTGCCATTTGAGACAGCACGAATGGACCTTGAGGGTATTATGCTAAGTGAAATAAGTCAGAGTGAGAAAGACAAATACCATATGATTTCACTCATAAGTGGAAACTTAAAAAAAAAATGAATAAAAAGCAAAAAGAAGAATTGGACGTATAAATACAGAGAATAAACTATATTCTGCTCACCCACTGGTAGGCAAATGGATGAAGGGGAGTGGGAGACACAGCCTTCCAGTTATGGGGTGAATACGTCACGGGAATAAAAGGCACAGCAGAGGAAGATAGTCAATGTATCTGTATAGCAATGTATAGGGACAGATAGTTGCTGCACTTGTAGTGGACATTGCACAATGTGGAATGTATAAACTTGTCACTGTGTGGTATGCCTGAGACAAATGTAACAGTGTGTGTCAACTGTATTCAAATAGATACATAAATAACATTGCATTAAAACGCACGTACAAAAGACGTTTCTAACAGTGCGAGATGCTGGAAAGAATCATTGGGGCACTATGTCGGTGAACACGTTGCTCACCAGTGTGTGCAGTGTGGTACACACTCCTGGAAGAAACAGGCACAAAAATTGTGGGTAACAGTGGTATCTGAATGAATGAAGCCACACCGTCAATTTCAGTGAAATGCTATATTTAATTAACGCTTTGCACTACATGTTACACGCTGTATATACGAACGTGTTCCAAAAAGGTGACTCTGGGGCGCCTGGGTGGCGCAGTC